GGTGGGCGTCAGGGCCGGGCCGTGGGGAGCCGGCGGTGGGCGGTAGCTGCTGACAGGACACTTTCTGCCGGTTGCCTGATGAGCCTCAGAATCCAAGCTGAGAGCGATGGGGGCTGGTGGGCCGGGCCCTGGTGCTGCTGTTTGCTGCTTTCCTCCCTGAGCCGGGTACGCACACCCACGCGTCCACCAGCACACCTGGTAGGCCCCGGAGCGACCCTCTTCTTCCTTAGCCTTTCATCTCCAGCTCTTAGCACACAGGTCGTAGTAGCTGCTCAATAAATGCCGGCCTCGCTCGTCTTGAGACACTGCACTCTGGCAGCAGAGGGGCCTGTGCGGCAGAGGGCGCCCACCCCTCGTGGGGAAGCCCACCCAGTGCCTTGTCAGCCCAGACTGTCCTGTCCCCCAAGGACACCTGCTGGACTTGCTGAGGGCGCGCGGGAAGAACGGGGCGCTCGCCTTCTTAGAGAGCCTGAAGTTCCACAACCCCGACGTCTACACCCTGGTCACCGGGCTGCAGCCCGACGTGGACTTCAGCACCTTCAGTGGTGAGAGCTGGCCTGCGATCGGAGCCTCCGGGTCCTGGTCACCTCTGTCCCCAACCCTTTTCCCGAGGCCCAGGCAGCGGTTCCGTCCTGCCCCGTCCAGCACTCGGGGGAGGAGACCCTCCGCGCTGCAGGGGGACGGGTTGGAGAGGGAGCCCCTGCTGGGCTCGGAGGAAGTCTGTCCCTAATGCAGCACCAAGGGGGCGGCCTTCACGATGCGGGCACGGGGACGTGTCCTTTCCCCAGAAGAGCTCCCAGGCCCGCCGGGGGCTGTGCTGGGGTGGCAGGCCCAGTCCTGGGCCCAGCAGTGCCTGCCAGAGGGGGCAGTGCAGACCGCAGCCCTGTGCCTGTGTTCAGCCCGCTAAGTGAGGGCTCACTGGGCTTGGGGGGTGGGGGGGAGTAATTCCAGGCTCCCCTGGGGGCACTGAGGGAGGTGGGAGGTCAGAGGGTGGGGCAGGAGCCCTGGAAACTGCACCAGAGGATGCTCCTGTCTGGCGCCTCCCAGGCGGTGCTTGTGCTGCGTCGAGATCTCTTACGCAGACTTACGGTCCCGTTACTATTTTGAGGATGACGTGAGCCTGTTAGCATTAAGCACGTCTGGGCTGAGGAGGGGCAGGGGTCTGGACAGCGGGTCACACAGGGCAGCCAACACTGGGTAGTCCTTGTACCCAAATCTGGAATCACGTGGTTTGTGTACCCAAATCTCGGGTATAGTTCGGCCCGGAAGGAGACGACAGATAGGGTGGGCCCTCTTGAGAGTCGGGGCAGGAAGCAAAGCCCTGAAGGACGAGGAGCGGGCAGGGTGGTGATGCCCAGCTCCCCGCAGGGCTCATGGAGACGTCCAAGCTGACCGCATGCCTGGCCGGGGCCATCGGCAGCCTGCAGGAGGAGCTGAGCCAGGAGAAGGGGCAGAGGGAGGCGCTGGCGCAGCAGTGC